TGCGATCTGCGAAACTGTCGCCATTTTCGAGGCCTGATGTGATCCCCGTTTTCGAAGTGGCTGGGAGTGCTCAGGAATTGTAAATCATCAGCTTTATCAAGCCCTTTTCCTGTAGCCAGTGTCCTGCGAGTCTCCCGAATTCCGTTTGCAGACATATGTAACCCTCGCTCCGTCATCGCCCCCTTATAAAGTATCCTAAACTATTTGCGCCCCGCTTTTGCGCAGGGGTTGGGTACGTCGCCAGGGTAATTTTTTAATAGAATAATAATACTCATACTAAGAATAATAGTAATAGTAGTAGTAGTAGTAATAATACTACTAATAATAATAATACTAATAATAATAATATTAATATTAATATTAATAATAATAATACTAATACTACTACTACTAATAATAATAATAATAATAATAATCATAATACTAATATTATTACTAATAATAATAATACTACTAATAATAATAATAATACTAATAATAATACTAATAATGATAATAATACTAATAATAATAATAATAATATCGAGGAAGAGGAGGAGGAGGAGGAGGAGGAGGAGGAGGAGGAGGAGGCAGGAGGAGGAGGAGGAGAGGAGGAGGGGAGGAGGCGGAGGAGGAGGAAGGAGGAGGAGGCGGAGGAAGAGGAGGAGGACGGAGGAGGAGGAGGAGGAGGAAGGAGGAGGAGGAGGAGTTGGGGGGTGCTCCTTCGCCTAACAGTTTTTGTGGTCTTGGCGTCAGAATGGGGAGCCGTTCTGAAAGACCCTGGCGCTCCCAGGCAGCACCCAGCGGAACGCATCTGCTGCATCAATCCTCTGGCAGGGCTCGTGGCTCGGCACAGACAGCCCCAGGAGGCAGTCGGGGCTGCCCATCTGCCCAGTTCCGCCGCCGTGCCCCAGCGCAAGTCGTCGTCTCGGCCCTTGGACGGGGCCTTCTGAGCCTCGACGCCTCTCCCTCCCTGAGGTCCGAGCTGCAGTTCGCAAGCTCACCACTGGAGTCCTTGACCCCATCTTTCCGCCAGACATTTTTCGAGCCAGATCGAGGCCCAGCAGAAGACGGCTCGGGAGGGGCCCCGAGGACTTCAGGCTGGAGGGGCCCCGAGGGCTCCTCCTCCTCTCCCCGCCTCGCCCCGTCAGCCGCCCTTGCGACCGAATCACGGCAACACGAGCATCACAGCACAGACGACTTGCGCTGGTTATCAGCCGCCGGGAGCACTGCATGGTGTCTGCGACGTGAGTCCGCCTACGTTTCACGTCCTTGAGGCCACGGCCTCCACGCCGTGCCCTGATGGGCACGGACGGGCTCCTCAGAGGAGCGCGCACGATTGGCGTTCGCTTCGCTTCCGTCAGCCGCCCTTGCTCGAGCCCCCAGATCTCAAGGATGGCGCGAGGCGACGTTTCGATGGTTCTCGAGACGCGGTCCCAGAAGAAACCAGCCCTTCCCCCAGGGCCAGCTTTCCGTCCCGAGCCTTTTGTGGACCGCCCCGAGGCCTGGCGAGGGCCCCCAGTGACCGAGAACGGGCGAACACCCTCCGCGCAGTTTTCTTTCTGTTCCAAGGCGCGAGCATGTCTGGCTCCGCCAGCCGCTCCTGCTCGAGAGGGCGCCGCTCCGCGGGCCGCGCGGCGCCGCGATGGCCGGGCGCGGCGAGCCCCTGCGGCGGCTCTGGCGCTGCGACCTCGCCATGGCCGGGCTGCTGCGGGCCCGGCGGCACGAGGATCGGGGGCAACGACGGGGGAGGGGGGGGGGGAGCAGGTTCCGCGGGGGGGGGGGGGGGGGGGGCGAAACGTTCTCGCGGGGGGGGGGGGGGGGCAAGACAGGGGGGGGGCAGGTGGTCCCCGGGGGGAGGGGCAACGACGGGGGGGGGGGGAGCAGATTCCCGCGGGGGGGGGGGGGGGCAACGACAGGGGGTGGGGGCCAGGTTCCCGCGGGGGGGGGGGGGGGGGGAAGCAGCGGCCCCCGATCGCCCGTCCTCCTCGCGGATCGGGGGCCGACGGCCCGCCCCCGCCCAGGAGCGTCCAGGTTCGCCATCGGGGGCCTCTCGCCGATCCATCGTCGGTGCACGGTGGCGACGCTGACGTGAGGACCGCTCGGGGTTCGTCGGAGAGGGGCTCGCACTTCCGTGGGTCACTCCGTGGCTCTTCCTCTGGCCCTCCGCGTGCACCCAGCGCTCCTGGAGCCAAGCAGGGCCTTCGATCCTGATTTCGCACTCTTTGTTGCAGCAGCTTGTCTGCATGGCCGATTCGAGCTTGGTGTTTTCCTACCTCAGGAGGAGAGAAAGCACAGACACAATCAACCAACGACTCCCAGGAACAGATGGGAAAATAGGGGAAGTGGAGGGAAAACGAAGATAAAGAAAATATGAGAAAGTATTGGGAGTCCTGGGATTTGTGTCTATGTATTTGTGTGTCCCAGGGCCCCTTCACTGTCGCCGCCCTCGCCCTCGAGAGGAGGGGGCCCGGCGGCTGCTCGCCGAGGGCCACGTCGGGCGGTGGCCGCTGAGCCTGGCTTCCGCGCCCAGCGGGCTGGGCGGTAGCCTGGCGCGGCTGCCCGGGGAGGAAGGAACCGGAGGGTTCCAAATGTTTTTTTTGGGGAGGGGGCTTTCCAGAGGGCCCCCCAGGGGCCTCGGAACCTCGTCAAAACAGGGGGTGCGAAGCCCCTGGGGGACCCCTCCTGGAAAACGCCCTCCCCAAAAACCCCCTTTGGAACCCTCCGGAAGAAGAAGCCGGCACGCGCGCAACGTTTCGACATTCGGTGTCGGAGGAGGGAAAGCTGCCCATCACGCTACACTCAGCCACGCGCAGAAGGGGGTGGGGGCAGGGGGAGAGCTTCTTCGAAGCACCTGCTTCTTCGGAGGCGCGGTCTTTCTCCATACATGTAGGGCAGGCGCCTTCAAGAAGCGGCCTCCCTCGAAGAAGCCTTCCCCACGGCCCACTCCCTCCACCCGTCTGTGCGCGCCGCCAGAGCAGCGGCATGCGCGTAAACTTTCGACGTTCGATTTCTTCGGAGGAGGAAAAGGTATCCATACCGCTATCCTTTGCCTCGTTTTGGCTTTTTAGGGCTTCTTGGGAACCCCTTGTCGACACCGCTGGATTCGCCTCGAGATCCTGGTCAGAACGCAACCTGGTGGAGGTCTGGCGGATTAACGGGATCGGTACCTTCTAGTTTCCCCCAAAGTGGCATGCGCGTGAATTTTCGACGTTCGATTTAAGGCAGCGACGTGAACGCGCGCGGGCTCACCCGAGGTTTTCGAATCATGTTTTCATTGATCGTAGCAATGATGACAAGCAGAAGAGCGGCTTATAGGCATACGCTCATGAGCGTTTGCTTGCACAGCGGAACGGCACGCTATCCGCTTGCGGGGCACAGCGTGTCGCCGGGGCCGCCGCCGCGACACGCTCGGCAAAAGTAGCTGACCGTAAACTTTCGACGGTGCGCGCGGATGCCTTGGATTTGTACTGGGTTCCCCTGGCGGCGCCCTTGGCGCCTCACCTGGCGCGCGGAGCGCGCCAGGGAGGGGATCACGGTGCAGATCCGAGAAATCCGTGAGGGCCGTTGGAAGTTTACAGTCAACGTGTATGGTGAGGCTGGGTGTCATTCCAAATGGTAACCTTGTATCCTTGCCTATTCGGCCTATCCTCGGGCAGTCGTTAGCTCAAAGAACTTCAACTCGGGCACCGAAGGGGCCTGCATCCTTACCGCGCATCCTTCGTGGGAAGGCCTTTCGGCCGGTGCTGCCGACCCTGAAGGGGAACGAGGACGACGACGGCGGCGGAGTCGGCGTCGACGACGGTCGACGCTGACGTTGGGCAGAGTCCTCAGGGATGCTTCGTTGGGCCTCTTCGGAGCGCGCTCGTAGGCCTTTGGGGGACAGTTTTGGGGCCTCTATATATTCGTTGACCATTTTTTCTGTTTTTGATTGTTGTTCTTCCTCCAGGCTGCTGCGGGGGCCGCAGTACACCTCCGAGTACTGCCGCCCAAAGCTCTTCTTTCCGTTCCTGGAGGACCGTGCGCTGTGGCCGTCGAACGACGAGGTCTCGGCCGCGCTGGTGGAGCGGTGGCGCGATATTCGCGAGGAGTTCCGGGAGGTTCGGGGGCAGCGTTAGTTTCGAGGTGGTTCGAGGTTGGAGATAATGGTATCGGACGTTTATTTTTGTCGGTTCTCCGCGGCTTTAGGGCCGCGGGATGCTCTCCAGCGGCTGCGCCTCGCCGAGAGCGTTCCCAGGGTGCCTGGATCGTCCCGAACGGCCGCCGGAGGGACGAGTTATGACCCGAAAGCAAGGGGGCAACGCTGGGGGGGGCAGGCTAAGGGGGGAAGCGTCGAGGCCCCCAGTCGCCCATTGATCTCCAACGGGGGGCTCGATAGCCCTCCCCGCCCGAACGATCCCCCCTCAGAGGTGATGTCGGAGGTGGCGTGCAGCGACATCAACACGCGCGGGCTCACCGCCCGCGGTCATCGAAGACGTGCATGTGAATTTTCGAAGGTCCGATCGGATTTCCTGGATCTGCTCTGGACCCCCGGGCAGCGCCTCCAGCGCCTCGCTGCGCGCCAAGGAGGGTGGTCCAGCCCAGATCCAAGAGACCCGCGCGGACCTCCGAAAGTTTGGGTTTATGAAGTTTTCTCCAACCATCCTGAGGTATTGGGTCACCGTTTTGAAAAGGTATCGCCGCGCATCCTCCTCCTCCTCCTCCTTCTCCTCCTCTCGTCGTCCTCCTCCTCCTCCTCCTCCTCCTCCTCCTCCTCCTCCTCCTCTCACCCTATCATCTTTCTCGTCTCCATCAAACTTAGTATCCTCGTTGTCAGCACTATCACCATCATCGTCGTCGTTGTCGTCATCGTAGTCATCATCACCATCATCATCATCATCATCATCATCATCATCATCATCATCATCATCATCAGCATCATCATGCGTGTTTTCTCATCATACTCGTAATTAGTCACCACCACCACTCATCATGGCAAGCATAATTTGGACCATCCCTGCCAACATCATCAACCTCATCATCACCATCATCGTTATCACCATCATTATCATCGTCACCGACGTCATCAGCATCACCATCATCAGCACCACCATCACCATCATTTCCATCGTCATCATCCTGATCATCATCAGCATCAGCATCATCACCATCCCCAGCATCATCATCATCATCATCATCATCATCATTAGCATGATCATAGGCATCATCATCACCATCATCGTCATCACCATCACCAGCATCAACATAATCATCACCAACACCACCAGCACCATCGTCATCATCATCACCAACATCGTCATGAACACCACCATCAGCACAATCAACAGCATCCACACCATCATCATCAACACCATTATCATCATCGTCAGCACCACCATCAGTAGCATCGCCACCGTCGTCATTACCACCATCATCACTTCCACCATCGGCATCATCGCCATCATCATACTAAGCATCGGCATCACCATCATCAGCATCATCATCACCATCATCAACAAGAACGTCAACATCATCGTCATCACCATGGTTGTCCTCATAATCATCAACATCATCATCGTCATCAGCATCACCAGCATCATCATCATCAACAACATCACTATCACCACCATCACCATCATCACAATCACCACCAGCAACAACATCATCATCATAATCATCATCATCACCATTACCATCACCATTGCCATTACCATTACCATTACCATTACCATTACCATTACCATTACCATTACCATTACCATTACCATTACCATTACCATTACCATTACCATTACCATTACCATTACCATTACCATCGCCACCATCCTCCTCATCATCATCATCGTCATCAGCATCTTATCACCACCACCATCATCATCATTCTCATCATTATCATCATCATCATCAGCAGCAGCATCATCATCAGCGTCAGCAGCAGCAGCAGCAGCAGAAGCAGTAGCATCCCTCACACGTCCCGTGGCCCTATCGAGGGCTCCTCCGAAGGACCCAGTGGTGGCGTTCGCAAGTGGGTGTTGCGCCCGTTTCGGCACCCCCCTCACACGTTCCGTGGCCCCATAGGTAGCTCCACCGACGGCCCAAGTGGTGGCGGTCGCATGTGGGCGGCGCGCCCGTTTCGGCACCCCTCTCGCACGCTCCGTGGTTTCATAGGGAGCTCCACCGAAGGCCCCAATGGCGACGTTCGCACGTGTGCGACACCCCTCACACGTTGCGTGTCCCCAAGGAGCCCCCTCGTCCTCGTCCCGCCTGCGCTGCGGTACTCGCACTTGCATGTGGTTGAGTCTTTCGCCACGATAAGTTGTTCGTCCACCCGCTCCGACAGCATGTGTCCCCCCCGGTTACAGCGGGCGGGGGCGACGAATGCCCCATCCAGACAACGGCTCGGGGACGCGCGCCTCCTGGGGGGGCGCATTAGCATGTCCTCGCGCCTCCCAATCTAGGTCAGTGGAGCAAGGTGCCGCTGTTCTCTCACGGGGTGGCGCACGAGGGGAACCTCGGGCGCTGCCCGGTCACGGCGTCGACGCTGGCCGGGCTGCCGCTCTGCCGCGCGCTGGGATCGGCCTACTTCTCGCGGATGGCGGGCGGCACCGCCGTGCGGGCGCACTTCTCGGCGGCGAGCCCGGGGGGGAAGCTTCTGGCTTGAGGTTTTCAGGCGTCGTCGTGGGCTCTCGGCGGTTCTCCTGTCTCCAGATGCGCCTCGCCGAGAACGGTCCGGGGGGGGCCCGGGTCTTCCCCGCCGGGGGGCCGAGCTATGGAGCTAGGACCCCAAGGGAACCGGGCGTCCGAGAGGGGGTAGGCCTGCTCAGAAGGCGACGGTGCGGCGCAGAAGCCCTCGCGCCTCCTGAGAAGCCGCCTGCGTCGTCGGAGGGGGCGTATAGGGCGCTTCTCGGAAGGCCGGCGGCCTCGTGAGCCTCGGGAGGAGGCCCGCCCCCTCTGCCTTCCCCCCTGGGCTTGCCACCGGACTTCGGCCCCACTAACGCGCGCATCTCGAAGAAGAAACACCGGCGCAAACCTACACTTTGCCGGTGCGCGCGGATTTCTTGCATCCGCGCTGGGCCTCCTCTGGGGGCGCCTTTGGAACCGCCCTTGGGCGTGCTCGGCGCGCCCGAGAGAGGGGGCCAAGCGCAAGTCCAAGAACTCGGCGCGGACCGCCGAAAGTTGAGGTTCACGACTCTGTTTCTTCCTCCGGCGTCCGCTACCACCTCGGTCTGGACGTGCCCGACGGGAACATTTATCGAAGACGCCTTCGGCGAGCCGCTGCCGCGCCTCTGCTCATGCTTGGCGGCGCCCGCAGGCGGGGGGGGGCGTGAGGCGGGTGGTCTTCTAAGAAGGCGGAGGGGTCTCTCAGAAGGCTGGGGCCTTCTTGGAAGGCACAGGAGGCCTGTAAGAAGGCTTTTTAGAAGCCCCCCTGCCTTCTGAGAGGCCCCGCCGCCTTCTTAGAATGCCGCCCCCCTTCTCGCCACAACCTTGTGGGCGCCACCAAAATGTGGAAATGCTTCTTTGGCCACACGCTGGGCCTCAGTCTGGGCAAGGAACTTGGCCGTGTGTTCACTTATCCCTGGGGAAACGAACCTCTCTTGGAGAACAGAGGGGGGCAGTTTGCCATACATGCTGGGTCTCCTGTGCCCGCTTGGGAACCTCTGGGGCTCTCCGCGGTTTTTATGGTGGTCCCCAGGACGGTCTTGGGGCGCTCTTGGGCCGTCTGAGGTCAGTCGAGGACGTCTCGGGGCTCGGTCGCTTGGGGCAATCCTGAGGCCCTCCTGGGTTGTCTCGGAGCTGTCTTGGGGCGTCTTGAGCTTCCCCGGGGGGCCCGTTTGGCGCCTCTTAGGGCCCCCTTGGGCCGTCTGGAGGCTCCCTTCGGGCCCTTCGGTGCCCTTTAGGACCCTTTTGGCGCGTCTTGGAACCGATGTTTGGGGTTGCTTGGGCCGTCTTAGGCGGCGTTCTAGCGCCGGAGAAGGCGAGCATGCCGATTCCACCAGCATCAGCACACCGACGGTCAGAAGCTTGTTCTGGCCCATCGCGCGCCTCGGTGCGACACGCTAACCGTGTGACCGTGCCCAAGAGCCGACGTTCCAAGTTCTCCCGGGCCTCCCGCCCAGCGCAGTGGAGAGACATCAGCTCGCAGGGGGGGGCCCGTGGATTTGGCAATCGCCGACGGCATGTACAGGTGGGCGGAGGGCCGGACACTCGCTTTCAGTGACGCGTTCATCCACGCCGTCCACCACGAGGAGAGCGCCCCGAGGGGCGTGCTGGTCGTGGACGTCTACCACCCTGGCCTGTCCCAGGCCGAGCGGCGGCTGCTGGAGGACCTGGAGCGAGTCCACCGCAGCTTCTTCCCGGCGGCCTACGAGAACGCCGTGCCTCACTGAGGCGGCGGGAGAGTCGAAGAAGAAACATTTGCCTAAGAAGAATGTTTCGGAGCTCCTCGCGGATTTCTCGGATGGCGGCGCCTCCGGCGCCGCCCCTAGTACGCTCTGCGCTCTATGGAGGAGAGCCCAGCGCGGCAAATCCAAGAACTCCGTGCGGACTTCCAACAGTGTACAGTCAACATTGATAGTGAAGATGGTCGAATTCCCAAGGGTACCCTTGCATCCTTGCCTCTTCGGTCATCGTCGGTCCATCCTCAACCACTCTCGATGGCCAGCCCCGCTCGAAGAGCCTGGAGATGGGCGCCCAAGGCCATCGCGCATCCTTGTGAATTTAGAGTTTGGACTGCATGCCGATCTCGCTCCAGGCACGCGCTCGCCGCCTCCCTGAGGCGGGGGCGCGCGCAGGGCGGTGGCGTGATGGGGTGTGGCCTCCTACAGTGGACACCCATGCCAAGAAACACCCTGCTTGCCTCCAGGGTGCCCTGGGCTTCTTTGGTTTCAAGGGTTTTGCAGCGGCCTGCACGCGTGTGCTTGGCTCCCCCCCCCCTCCCCCCCAGCCTGGGCGCACGCGCTTGCCGCCTCCCTGAGGCCCTGGATCTCGGCCCCAGCCTGGGCGCACGCGCTGGCCGCCTGGGAAAAGGTGCCCACCGCCTCTCTGAGGCCCTCCGTGTCGGCCTGGGCCTGGCCGCGGGCTATCGATGGGAGGAGGAGGAGGAGGAGGAGGAGGAGGAGGAGGAGGAGGAGGAGGAGGAGGAGGAGGAGGAGGAGGACCAGTGTAAACACAAGAGTCATCAACGATGTTGGAATTAACCCTCCCTCCAAGCACCCTCCTCATCATAGGCCCCATGCAAGGGTTCATTTGCATTGAGGGAGCTGCCTCGTTGGAAGACAACCGTTCGAAGACCCTGAAGCATGCCAAATCATTGTTCTTGGGATTTCAACGCCACGGATCAACTGACTGCTGCGTCTTGACGATCCGGAATCGTGCCAGAACGCCATTATTGTGACAACACAACGAATCAACATAATTGTTGCACCCGCGTAATCCAGAATCCTTCCAAGACGCCATTTCTGGTATCTTGACCATGGGTTTCCGTGAAACTCTTGCACATGTTGAAAACGAATGTGCGCGGCGCTAAGGCGAAAGCCACAGTTTGAAAAGTAATCTTCCAAACTTTTAAAACGTGTGTGCGCGGCGCTAAGGCGAGAGCCACAGTGCGAAAACCACCCGCCCTCAATCCGTGAAGCTCTCGTAAATTTTTCCCAACCATCCTGTGGTGTTGGGTCCTCGTTTTGAAGAGACGGTGCCCCGCGTTCCTCCTCCCGCTGCCCCCTCCCCCCTCCTCCCATCATCATCACCATCCTCATCATGCTCATCATCATGAGTATCGTCATCATCATCATCATCCACATCGTGGTTGTCGGTCATCATCATCACCATCATCATCATCATCATCATCATCATCATCATCATCATCATCATCATCATCATCATCATCATCATCATCATCATCATCATCATCATCATCATCATCATCATCGGCACACCCCTCACACGTTTCGTGGCCCCATAGGGAGCTCCACCGAAGGCCCAAATGGCTGCGTCCGCATGCCGCCGCCACCCAATTTTGGCACACCCCTCACACGTTTCGTGGCCCCATAGGGAGCTCCACCGAAGGCCCAAATGGCTGCGTCCGCATGCCGCCGCCGCCCAATTTTGGCACACCCCTCACACGCTTCGTGGCCCCCTGCTTCCGCATGCCGTGGACGTTTCGTGGCCCCATGGGGAGCTCCACCGAAGGCCCAAATGGCTGCGTCCGCATGCCGCCGCCGCCCAATTTTGGCACACCCCTCACACGTTTCGTGGCCCCATAGGGAGCTCCATCTAAGGCCCAAATGGCTGCGTCCGCATGCCGCCGCCACCCCATTTTTGGCACACCCCTTACACGTTTCGTGGCCCCATGGGGAGCTCCACCGAAGGCCCAAATGGCTGCGTCCGCATGCCGCCGCCGCCCAATTTTGGCACACCCCTCACACGTTTCGTGGCCCCATAGGGAGCTCCATCTAAGGCCCAAATGGCTGCGTCCGCATGCCGCCGCCACCCAATTTTGGCACACCCCTCACACCGTGGCCCCATAGGGAGCTACACGTGGCCCACAAGGGAGCTCCACCGAAGGCCCAAATGGCTGCGTCCGCATGCCGCCGCCACCCAATTTTGGCACACCCCTCACACGTTTCGTGGCCCCATAGGGAGCTCCATCTAAGGCCCAAATGGCTGCGTCCGCATGCCGCCGCCCGCCCAATTTTGGCACACCCCTCACACGTTTCGTGGCCCCATGGGGAGCTCCACCGAAGGCCCAAATGGCTGCGTCCGCATGCCGCCGCCGCCCAATTTTGGCACACCCCTCACACGTTTCGTGGCCCCATAGGGAGCTCCATCTAAGGCCCAAATGGCTGCGTCCGCATGCCGCCGCCACCCCATATTTGGCACACCCCTTACACGTTTCGTGGCCCCATGGGGAGCTCCACCGAAGGCCCAAATGGCTGCGGCCCAGGCGTGATCCTGGACTGCGGCCGCCACGAGGTCGGGAACGGCAAGAAGGAGGACGACGACTGGTGGCTGGAGCTCTACGTGCTGCTCTCGCGCGCCACGCGCCACGAGGATCTCCTGCTCATGCGGGCGCCGCTCATCGAGTTCTTCCTGGCAGGGCCGCCGGAGGGCTTGCGGAAGCAGCTGGAGCAGTTTGCAGCGCGCACGAAGCGGTGCAGGAGGGAGGCGACGGCCCTCGCCAGAGAGCTGGGCTTCAGCGAGTTCATCCGCGAGGCCTGACCTGGGGAGCGGCCCCGCACGAGCCAGCGGCGCGCGCTGGTTGTCGCTGACGCTTGGATGACCCCAGCTCGTCGTCGGGATTTCTCGCCAGAGGATGGCCGGCGCCTGTCGGGGGATTTCACCCAGATCGCGCCATTTTCGCACGCCTCGCCACGCAGTACGGGGGTGCTATCCGTTGATTCAGAGTCGCAGTGGACAACCCCCGCGCGTCGATGGGATTCCCTCGGGATGACCAGACCGCGTCGGCGAGGACTTCCCGGGCACTTTCGCGCGGCGCCGCCTGCGCGCTGCATTCTGCGTGGCTCGCTGTCGGTCTGGAGGCAAAAACGTCTCCCCTCGTCTCTCGCTCCTCCTGCTTCCCATCGCTTCTTGACCGCGCGCTTCCCCGTCTCGTTTCTGCCGCTGCTGACCTGCCTTCGACATCTACACGGCGTCTCCGTCACCTCTTCCTGCGTGCCCAGTAACAGGTCTCATGATGCGATGATGATACTGATGTGTTGGCTCGCCCCAGTGAGCTCTCCTCCTCCGCCCGCCACCTCCTGCCCGCGCTGCCCTGTGCCTCGTCCATGCAGTGGCGCGGTGCCTATGAGAAGAGGGGCCTAGTTTGCGTGCCCCCTCCTTCGTCTCATATCCGTGCGGTACTCGCAGCTGCATATGGTTGGGTCCTTCGCCAGGCTAAGTAAAACGAATCGGAGGATGGGGGGTGAAATCGCAGTGAAACGGAGACCCCCCGCCGGGAAATCGGTTTCGGTTTCGTCTTCGTGTCGTGCGTGCGGGCGGGGTGAAGCTGCGCGTGATCCACCTGTAGCTAGGCCGAAGTAGGAGCGAAAGTCCGTTTCCGTCCGCTGGTGGCTGGGAGGTGTCCCAGTTGGGCCGGGCGGTGTCCCGGGTGTCATGGGTGTCAGTAGGAGCGAAAGTCTGTTTCGCGTCCGCCGGTGGCCGGGAGGTGTCAAGTTGGGCCGGGCGGAGTCCCGGGTGTCCTGGGTGTCCCTGGCGTCCCGGCGCTAATGGATGTCGCTAATTTCGTAATTCATTTTTTTTCGGCCCCTGCCGCGGGCTTTCTGATCCAATCCAGTTTAGCTTATCCAATCCATTTTGACCAACGCAATCCATCTTATCTTATCCAGCCCATACTGCCCAATCTTATCTTATCCCACCCAATCCAATCCAATCCACCCAACTCAATCCATCAATTCATTTGTTTCTGCGCCTGCGGCGGGCCAATCCAATCCATCTGATCTTATCCAATCAATTTCGTCCAATCCAACCCATCTTATCTTATCCAATCCATCTTATCCGATCCAATCCAACCCACCCAACCCAATCCATCAATTCATTTTGTCGGCGCCTGCGGCAGGCTTTCTTATCCAATCCAGCTTATCTTATCCAACCCATCTTGTCCAATCCAGAGAGACAGAAGGAGAGAGAGAGAGAGAGAGCGAGAGAGACAGAGATAAATAGAGAAATGAGATCAAGGTGACAGGCTGGAGGTCAGTAAGGGTGGGCATTTGATCTCAATCCCCCTAACTTTATCGCCCGCAGGGCGGTCGTATACGTACGCGAAGCGCTGAGGCGAGAGCCACAGTGTGAAAACCACCCGCCTTCAATCCGTGAAACTCTGGTATTTTTGAAAGAATGCGCGCGGCGCTAAGGCGAGAACCACATTTTGAAAACCACCCGCCCTCCATCTGTGACAGTGTTGCCACTTTCTAAGCTTCAGAGTCATACATGGTGAGGAAATCTCAGGCGAAACGCTCAGCCCGCCGCAAACACTAGCCTCGGGGTGCGACAGGGAGAAGTTATTCATCAGGAAAAGAAATGGACGAGGAGGAGGAGGATGAGAGGGAGGAGGAGGAGGAGGACAAGGAACAGAGGGCGGAGGAGGAGGAGGAGGAGGAGGAGGAAAAGGAGGAGGAGGAGGAGGAGGAGGAGGAGGAGGAGGAGGCAAAGGAGGAGGAGGAGGAGGACGAGGAGGAGGAGGAGGGAGGAGGAGGAGGAGGAGGAGGAGGGGCTCCTCCGCGCTGTGTTCCCCCAGAGGGGACGCATGGCAGGGCCGCCCGGCCGGGCGAGCGCGGCGGGCTCCCGGGAGCGGCCGGCGCTCGGCGGGCCGAGTCGGGCCCCGGAGGGCGTGGGCGGCTCTCTGCGGCGCCAGGGCGCTGGCGCGGTCCTCGCCCTCGGCATGCGCTGCGAAGCCATCGCTCGTTTCACCTGGGAGGGGGCCGTGTCTCGAAGAAGGAAAAGCCTGATAAGCGTATTGAACTTTTGGCGCTCCGCGCGGATTTCTTGGATCCGCGCCTGGGCCCCCCGACGGCGCCTCCGGCGCCGCCCCTGGCGCGCTCCGCGCGTCAGGGAGGGGGCCAGCGCGAAGACATCCGCGCGGAGCGCCAAAAGTTTATGCTCATGTGGTTTTTTCTGCTTCAAGTGTCGGCGAGCCCTGGCACGGCTCGTCACCCCCGTCGGGGAGCAAAAGGGTATCCTCCCGACAGGCGCTCCCCACCATATGGACAGTGGATCTCCTCCTGCGCCCTCCCTCCCCCTTCCTCCTCGCTGTCACAGCGCGTCCTCGCCTTCCTTACCAGCCGGAACCATATCACCCTGCCTTGGTGCTGATCTTACGGATTCCCTCGGTTTCTGAGGGCACATCCCTAAGATTGCCGTCGCCCTGGGCTTGCCGATCTTAGGGGTAGGGATAACTACGAAACCATCGGCAGGTTCCCTGAGGACTCTTTTTCAGCCTTCTGCCTGCACAGATGTCCATCCCTTTTTCGTTCTGTGTGTGTGGCCCTCTTTTTTCATGTGCGGGATCGTCACAGCGCGTCCTCGCCTTCCTTCTCTCTGCCTCCAGGCTGCGTCGTCCTGCCTCAGTGGCTCGGAGGAGGCAGAGG